TTGGCTCTGACCAACATGTTAGAGCAGCCAGCAACCTGACCACAGAGTCAGGTTAGACAGCTCCTGCCTGGCCCAGCAGATGCTAGATAAATGCTTTCCCTAGACCCAGCGCTCTGAAGTCTAGGAATCCACAGAGTCCTTGAAACCACCAACTCCTTGAATCCACAGCCCACGGGTGATTTTGCTGCCTTTTCTGCAGTGATGAGGTGCCTGGGGATTCCCACCCGCGTGATCACTAACTTTGACTCCGGCCATGACACGGATGGAAACCTGATCATAGATGAGTATTACGACAACACAGGCAGGATTCTGGAGAATAAGAAGAAGGATACCGTTTGGTGAGAGACGATCTTTCTATTTCTAGGGGCCATGCATCCCGGCCAGGTCCCACAGTAGGAAGTAAGTCAGGACTGTGTCCATAGCCTGCTGCCCCGTCCCATCTCCCTGCCTGTCTTTCAATCCCAGGGTTGAAGTGGTATCCCCACCCTAAGACAGAAAAACAGCTGAACAAAATCACAGCTGTGGGTTTAGAATCTTCAGATCACATGAGCTCTCAATCCTGGGCTGAGATGTCCTCCATGTGGTTGCCATCTTCATCTAATACTCAGCCCATGGTTCTGACCCCAGGAGGGCCCCAAGTCCACACACACAGGAAATGGGCTACAAGGACCTTGTTGAGGGAGTGTGAGGGATTATACCCTCAGTGGGCTGAGAGTGAAGAAGAATCCTTTATTCACCCACAGTAGAGGAATGCAAATGGAGGCAGATGGAGGCTCACAGGAGGAAGACCTGTCACTATTCATTCACAGGGGCTTCCACTGCTGTAGGCACCAAGTTTTTCCAACAGTCCACCTGCCCATCCATCTAGCTCTAGAAAGAAGTTATGTGGGACATCCTTTGTCACTGGTTTCTCCCTCAGGAATTACCACGTCTGGAATGAGTGCTGGATGGACCGCAAGGACCTCCCTTCTGGATATGGAGGCTGGCAGGTGCTAGATGCCACACCACAGGAGACCAGCAATGGTGAGGCTGCCCAGAGGGAAGTCATGACCCACTCCCACAGAATCTGCCCCCCCACCCCACCCTTGCCCCTGCCTGGCCTGCCACACCCTCCACACAAGGCTCTCCTTCCTTCTCTTCTTTAGGCCTCTACTGCTGTGGCCCTGCCTCTGTCAGAGCCATCAAAGAAGGAGAAGTGAATCTGAACTATGACACGCGCTTTGCATTTTCTATGGTGAATGCTGACTGCATGTCCTGGCTTGTCCAGGGGGGGAAAGAGCAGAAACTTCACCAGGACACGACCACTGTTGGTAATTTTATCAGCACAAAGAGCATCCAGAGTGATCAGCGGGATGACATCACAGAGAACTACAAGTATGAAGAAGGTAAAACCCAGTGTTCACTCCCACAAACATCCTAAGGGCCCAACAAGGACAGAAGGGAGGCTAAGTTGGTGTAGAGGAATTCTAGAAATGGAAAACGACCACTTGCTAGGTTCAACTCCTAGGGAGCCACGCAAAATTCCCAGCTATGAGAACCAGATACACGGTAAAGAAGCAAAGCTGAGGTCTGGCAGGGACAGGGTCTAGGCAGGAGCAAGCAGAGGGTGGGGGGAGCTGAGCTTTTGCTGGGAGTCTTGGGTGGGTGTCTGTGCTTCATTAATGTGATAGATACAAAAAGGATCCAGAACCCCAGCTTCAAAGCGGGGTGGGGGAGGGGATATACACTAAGAGACATGTATAGTCAGCCATATGTTCAGACTTAATCCATTGAGATAGGAAATGTTTGGGGAAAATTATGACTGTACAGAACAAGTGTAGACTTTCTTGTCACTATTTCTTTAACAATCCAGCATCCCAACTATTTGTGTAGCATTTAAATATATTAGATATGAGAAGTGATGCAGAGATGATTTACAGTCCAAAGGAGGATGGCATAGACAGTATGTAACTACTACAGCATTTTATGCCAAGGACTTTGGATTTTGGTATTGGTATCCGTGGAGGTTCTAGAACCATCATCCCTATGGTTATCAAGGCCTGACTGTTGGATTAACTTCCTAGTAGCATGACCACCCCTCCAGTCCCTATTGACTCTTGTTTCATTGGATGGGTTGTCTTGGAAACAGATCCTTAGTCAGGGACTCATAAACAAGTAGTGTATTTGTGAGGCACTCCAGGAAAAACTGGCAGGAGGGTAAGGAAGTGAGACAGAGAAAGTCAGTGTAGAGTGGCTTATCAAGCCCACTGGCACCATGAACAGCTGGAATTTACTCATAGCAGGAGTTCAGAAGGATGAATAATACCTTAGCATGATTCTGTCTCAAATTATTGGTTGTTTATCTGACACTAAAATTAAACAACTCTATTTCTATTGGCCTATGTTAATTGTATTAAAGGATTTCATTGTGATTTTTTTTTTGTCAGTCGTGGGGCTTGAACTCTAGGCCTGGGCACTGTCCCTCAGCTCTTCAGATCAATGCAAGCGCTCTACCACTTGAGCCATAGTGCCACTTCCAGTTTTCTGAGTGGTTTATTGGAGATAAGAGTCTCACTGACTTTCCTGCCCATGCTGGCTTTGAACCATGATCCTCGGATCTTAGCCTCCTGAGTAGCTAGGATTACAAGCATGAGCCACTGGTGCCTACCTTCATTGTGATATTTTTATACATGCATATAATATAATTTGATTATATCCACCTCCTCCCTTACTCCCGCTTATAATGTCCTTCCTCCTCCACATTTTTCAGGGCTTAAAATGGGTTTCCGAAAAACAAAAGCAAAAACAAAAAACTAGCTGGGTGCAAACAACAACAGCAAAACCTAGCAGGGTGCTGGTGGCTCATGCCTGTAATCCTAGTTACTCAAGAGGCTGAGATCTGAGGACTGCGGTTCAAAGCCAGCCTGGGCAATTAAGTCCATGAGACTCTTATCTCCAATTAGTCACCAGAAAAACAGAAGTAGCCTTGTGACTCAAAGTGGTAGAGCATTAGCCTTGAGCTGAAGAGCTCAGGGACAGTGCCTAGGCCCTGAGTTCAAGCCCTACAACCAACAAAAAAGGGGGGAGGGTTATGATGACATTTTCGTATTTGCATACAATGTACTTCAATTATATTCTCCCTGCCATTACCTTCTCCTTCTCGATCCCTTTTGTACTGGTTCCCCAGCCTAAGAATTCCCCCTTTTACATTCATTATGGTTCAGTATTTTTACTTACTAAATTTGTCCACCTGATCATTGATTCAATGTGATATAAAGAACAATATGGAAAATTTATTGCCCCTCAAGAGACAAGGGAGGTGAGCTGAGCTCTGCTCCTTGGAGGCATAATACTCCTGGCACTTCTGGTTTGCGCCATGGATAGGCCAAGTCTTTAAAGTGCCAGACAGAATCACATGGGCTGGAATGCTGAAGTAGGAGCATAGACATTGAAATGTCAAATGCTAAGGAGGTAGGAATAGCCACTGTCAGCATTTATTACAGAGGTCCACAGGTCCCCTGTGAACCTGGGAAATGGTGGCATATCCAGGTGAGCCTGAGTACCCAAGACATGGCTCAGTGGGCCTAGTCATCCATCTCCTCTTACCTAGTCTTCCAGGATCTGGGGTGGAGCAGACATAGACAGGCTGAATCTGACTCACGCCTCTCTGTGCCCTTGGAAGAGGTGATAGAAGCAGCTATAGCTACCATCTTTAATTTTTAATTTTGCTGAATGCATCTTTTACTCAAGAATTCATTTGATTATTGAAATTGTTCGTTTTATCGGTTGTGGGGCTTGAACTCTGGGCCAAGGCTCTGTCCCTGAGCTCTTCAGCTCAAGGAAAGGGCTCTATCACTTGAGCTGCAGCACCACCTCCCGTTTTCTGAGTGGTTAAATTGGAGATAAGAGTCTCTCGGACTTTCTTGCCCGGGCTGGCTTTGAACTGCAGTCCTCAGATCTCAGCCTCCTGAGTAGTTAGAATTACAGGCGGGAGCCACCATGCCTGGCTTTAAACTATTTTTATCTTTTTGTTAAGTTTCTCAAAGTACTGAAACATCTGTGTTTTCTTCAAGCTCTCTGAGAGGTCTCCTGCACTGATTACTATCTAGTTTATTTCTATCACTTTATTAGGTAAGGCCATGGCTTCCTGTACAATATTGGTATACAATATCAGCTGGTATTGAGAGATTAGGTGTTTCTTCCAGTGGTGCCAATCTGGCTAAATTTGTGCCTGCTAATCCAGAAATTCTAAGTAGCACGCTGCTTCTTTTCTCTGAATCTATAGTCATTTCCAGTATTTCATCACTAGATGGTACCCAAATACAGATTTTTCTGGCTGTCTGCTTTTGCTAAGTTGTCACTGTTTCAGTGCTTAAAGACAATCCCAGCCTATATGTGTCCCAAATACACTGTGGGTATGTTGGCAAAGAATCAGAAAGAGGGCTGGGAAGGTGGCTCAGTGTTAGAGTGCTTGCCTTGCATGCATGAGGCCCTGGGTTCAATTCCCCAGCATCACATAAGCAAAAAGAAAAAAAGCCGGAAGTGGCGCTGTGGCTCAAGTGGTAGAACGCTAACCTTGAGCTGAAGAGCTGAGGGACAGTGCCCAGGCTCAGAGTTCAGGACTCACGACCGGACCCCCCCCCAAAAAAAAAAGAATCAGAAAGAAATCCAGAGAGTACCTGGAAAGAATAGTCTGTCCCCACACACATCTGTTTGAGGCCAGAGAAATCACAGATGCCTCATCTATAGTGATCAGCCTATGGTCAGGACTTTGTCCAGTTTTGGGAAGAGTCACCATGGATAGACCAGCCCCAGGGTCCTATGTGGCCACCAGTGTGTCACATCCTGAGTTCACCATCCACCAAGACTAGCACACCACTAGGTAGGACTAAGGCCTTACTGCTAAGTTAATGCCCTCTGCAGGAAGCTCCAAGCAGGCAACTGTTTCCCTCCTGCCTTTTATTAGACTAAAAACAGGCATTGTGGTCTCTTACCTGATTTTCTAGGCAGGTAGTTGGTACATGAATGATGTTCGGGATCTCTGGGGCAAGGCCATCACTAGAAAAGCTTAGCCACTATTCTGCTTCACCAAATTGGCCAGCTGTAAGAGAAGTTTATCTCCACATTTGTGGGCCTTCTTCTTTTCCTTGAGGATATCAGGACTGAGTTGAGTGGTCGTGAGCATGGGTTCTTAAGAGTTCAGACAGTGGATCTTGCTTCTCACTAGTTGTATGATTCCAGCAAGTACCATGACCATTTGGAACCTCCTTTTCCTCGTCTATAAAAATAACAACAACAACAATATACCTCTTGAATGGCTGACAAGATGAAAAGTGTTAAGTACTTATTCAGAGTCTTAGGAAATAGTAGATGAATGAGGGAAAACATTGCTGAAATAAAGTTGATTTTCTTTTTTTTGGCACTGGTCCTGGGGTTTGAACTCAGGGCCTAAGTGCTACCCCTGAGCTTCTTTGCTCAAGGCTAGCACTCTACCACTTGAGATAAAGAACCTCCCGGGCTTTCTTGCCCAGGCTGGCTTCAAACCATGATCTTCAGATCTTACCCTCCTGAGTAGCTAGGATTGCAGGTGGGAGCCACTGGCACCTAGCTTGAAATGAAGTTTGAAAACTCCCCAGCCCCTGCACTGTTGGTAGTGGTGCTGAGGGTTGGATGTTTGTCCCTTAGCTGTGCCTCGCCCACAGCTGATAATGTGTGCTACCTTCGTAGGTTCCCCCCAAGAAAGGCAGGTGTATTATAAGGCTCTACAGAAGCTGAAGGATGGAAGGTCCCAAGGATCCGACAGTGCATCTTCAGTACCCTCGAGGCGCATGCCACCAAGCCAGGACACTCCTCGGAGCCTGGATACACCGGCCCTTCAACCAAGCAGTGTTATTCAGGTCTCCCTGAAATTCAAGCTACTTGACCCGCCTAACATGGGCCAGGACATCAACTTTGCCCTGCTGGCCCTCAACATGTCACCCCAGTTTAAGGACCTCAAAGTGAACCTGAGTGCCCAGTCCCTTCTGCATGATGGCAGCCCCCTGTGGCCATTCTGGCAGGACACAGCCTTCATCACACTGTTTCCTGAAGAAGGTATGGACTCTGAATACGGGCCTTGGACACACTGGATGCACAGTTGGTTATGTCATGGCATATGTTGGGGGAGGGAGGTGGAGCCAGACAGCAGGGCTTTGGGGAATGGTTCCCTTCTTCTCCTCCCCTCTTCCTTATCTTCTTTCCCTCCTCCTCTCTTCCTCCTCACTTCTTCTTTTTCCCTCTGTCCTCCTTTGCTATCTCTAAGAAAAAAAAAGCTAGTTTAGTGGGGGAAAGTCTAAGTCTAAAGCCATCTACCTTGGCTGGGCACTCAGCCTATCCATTTACAAGCAGATTAACTATAGTTTTTCCACTTCAAATGCTTGTGCTTCAGCAGGACCTGGAAAATGTTGGCTCCCTTCTTTCTACAGAAGAACCACCAGGTTCAACTCCAAATCCAGCTAATTTTCACTGTATCCTGTGTTCACTCCCAAGCCCGGCTACTTTCACTTTATCCTGTGTTTTCTCCCTAGCAAAGACCTACCCCTGCAAAATCCCTTATTCCCAGTACAGCCAGTACCTGTCAACAGACAAGCTAATCCGCATCAGTGCCCTGGGTGAAGAGAAGAGCAGTCCAGAGAAAATCCTGGTGAACAAGATCATCACCTTAACCTTTCCAGGCATCATAATTAATGTAGGCAAGAGCCCTGCAAATGCTCTGTGGGTACCTTGGCCCTGGCTATGAGGGTGAAGCCCTCTGACAGGATGGCTGTGGTCTGCTGGAGAGAACACGCTCTCCTTTTCTCTCCTATTGAGTAATCTTCATTCTCTTGAGGCTAGGTGGGTCTTGAGCATGGGACATGGATTCAACCTCTGTTGTGCCATTTTTTGTGTTGGCCTTCCCAGGGTCCACATGATAAAAAACAGGCCAGACAGGAGGGGATCAGATGAGGAGCCCATAAGATCTGAGTTGCTACTTTCAGCCTGCACATACTTGAGCAAGCCTCCTCCCTACCATCCCCCCGAGTCTCTGCTCCTTGAAATGTCAAAAGAGAGGATGAGAGTAGATGACCTCTGAGCACCCCTCCTGCTGACCTTCCGTGGTATTCAGGAATCCTTTCAGTACTGTCTCCCCAATGCCAAACTGCCTGCTAGACTTCGCCAAAGTGAGCCCATAGAGTACTGTATGCTTTCTCTCAATTATGGAAACTAGGGGAAAGCAAAACAAAACAAAACAACCAAAGACACGCATGCAAAAGGGGGATTACTAAGGGGTGGGGACACAGAAGTTAAAAAAGAAATGGGAAAGGTAAGCAGTGGGGGATAAGAATGATAGAGAACAAGCGGGGTACTAGTGGCTCATGCCTGTAAACCTAGATACACAGGAGGCTAAGATCTGAGGATCGTGGTTCAAAGCCAGCCTGGGCAGGAAATTCTCCATAAGATCCTTATCTCTAATTAACCACCGGAAAATCGAAAGTGGTGCTGTGGATCAAGTAGTAGAGTGCTTATCTTGAGCTGAAGAGCTCAAAAACAGTACCCAGGCCCAGAGTTCAATCTCCATGACTGACCAAAAAAAAAGAATGATAGAGCTGGGAAGGTGGCTCAGTGGTGGAGTGCTTGCTTGCATGCATGAAGCCCTGGTTTCGATTCCTCAGCACTACATAAGCAGAAAAAGCCGGAAGTGGTGCTGTGGCTCAAGTGGTAGAGCGCTAGCCTTGAGCTGAAGAACTGAGGGACAGTGCCCAGGCCCAGAGTTCAGGCCCCACAACCCTCAAAAACAAAACAAAACAAAAAAGAATGATAGAGAGCCAGAAGCCAGTGTAATCCAAGTTACTTGGGAAGCTGAGATTGGGAGGATTTTGGTCAAGGATAGCCTCGGCAGAAAAGTTCATGAGACCTGAGACCCCCATCTCAATGGAAGAAGCTGAGCATGGTTGCATGTTCAGCTTGTTATGCATGTTATCTTAGCTATGATGAAAAACCTAACTTAGGCAAATTATGCCCAGATATGCACCAAGACAGAGAGCAAGACCCTATCCTAACAAGGATCGCAGTTCAAAGCCAGCCTGGGCAGGAAAAGACCATGAGACTCTCATCTCCAATAAACCACCAGAAAATTGGAAGTGGCACTGTGGCTCAAGTGGTAGAGCCCTCTCCTTGAGGAAAAAGAGTTCAGGGACAGAGCCCAGACCCACAGCTCAAGTCCCACGACCGACAAAAAAAATGGCAGAGGCATGGCTCAGTAATAAAGTGATTGCTTCACAAGTATGAGGGCCTAAATTCAAACTCTAGCAGGAGATGTTAATAATATTTTTACGTATGGAAGTGTCATGTTAAAATCTCTTAATGTATAATATTGAATAATATACACCAATAAATCCTTTATACTAAAAAAAGTACCATATATAATATCCAGTGGATTAGAGAATAAGGACTAATTTCCTGCTCCTTCTCTTGCCTTGGGTGTCTGTTTAGGTTCTAGGACAAGCCATTGTAAACCAGCTGCTCTCCATCCAGGTGATATTTTCGAACCCCCTCTCGGAGCCAGTTGAGGACTGTGTACTGACCTTGGAAGGCAGTGGCTTCTTTAAGAAGCAACTGAGAATCCTGTAAGTGATGGAAGGGCTCGGCCTCCTCTCCCATTCCATTCTGGGATTAGCGCTGTCCTTTCTGGACACAGGCTCAGGACCTGGGTGAACAGACTGAACAGGAAGTGGAGTGGAAAAGGGCTTTGGAGGTCATCATTGTGTCTCTGGGGCTTTCTGACTTTCCCCATTCTCTGCTGCAGCATTGGAGACCTCAAACCCCACCACAAAGCCACCATCACTCTGAAGACTATCCCCTTCAAGAGTGGCCAAAGACAGATCCAAGCTAATCTGAGTAGCAACAAGTTTAAGGACATCAAAGGTTACAAGAATGTCTATGTGGATTTTGGGTTATAAATATTTGGACAATGAGATGCATGTGTGGATTTTAAACTTCAGGAAAACGATCAAATTCAAATGCAAGCTGTGTTTTTTCTCCCGACACCAAAGATTCCACCAGACTCTGATATCAGCAACAAAAGAGATCCTGTGGATGGACAGCTCCTTGGGTCATTTGCACAGCTTGCATGAACTTTCTTCTTCAGGACCCAGGGCTTCAATGGCACCCATACAGAAGTGCGATTTAGCACAGTGTCTGGAGGGTACTATTTGGAATTGGGCCCCCCAAACATCAAGCAAAGAACCATCTCATAGCTGTTTTATTGTTTAGTTATTGTCTAGACCTGTCTAGTTTCCTATTGTCAATAAACCTCAATCCTTGCTTTCATTGCCTTCACACTTATAAACATCATCTTCCCCACAAAGGTTCTCTGGTTGGTAGAAGTGTCCTACTGTTTCAATACGTGAGCCCATTCACCTAACTCAAGAAGTATTTATTAAGTGTGTAGTATATCCTAGGCACTTCTGAGGAGTATAAGAGCCTAGGCAGTCAAACAAAACCAAGTCTCCTCCATCTTAGAGCTGACATTCTTGTGGAGGCAGGAAAGATAAACAATAAACATATCAGCTGGGACTGGTGGCTCACGCCTGTAATCCTAGCTACTCAGGAGGCTGAGATGTGAGGATCATGGTTTGAAGCCAGTGGAGGGGGAAAAAAAGTTGTGAGACTCTTATCTCCAATGAACTTCCAAAAGGTCAGAAGTGGAGCTATAACTAAGTGGTAGAGTGCTAGTCTTGAGCACAAAAGCTCAGGGACAGCGCCCAAGACACACACAGTAAATAAATATGTGTCAACATGTGGCCTATCAGTTATGCTTTAGATAGAAAAGCAAACCACTCAGTACATGTCTCTCCGTAACACTTATCATCTTTGTGTTTTGAAAAAAAAAAAAACCTAGGAAATCTCTCAGCCTGGCCATCCCTTGAATCCCTTCCCATATGACTTTAAAAGGTCCCTCAGTCCTTAAAATCCCAGCATCTTTTTTTTTTTTTGGTGGGTCGTGGGGCTTGAATTCTGGGCCTGAGCACAATCCCTGTGCTCTTCAGCTCAAGGCTAGCGCTCTACCACTTGAGCTACAGCACCCCTTCTGGTTTTCTGGTGGTTTATTGGAGATAAGAGTTTCACGGACTTTCCTGCCCAGGCTGGCTTTAAACCTCGATGGTCAGATCTCAGTCTCCTGAGTAGCTAGGATTACAGGCATGAGCCACCGGCGCTTGGCTGCATCTTCTTTTTTATTTTATTTTTTGTCGGTCATGGGGCTTGAACTCTGGGCCTGGATGCTGTCCCTCAACTCTTCAGCTCAAGCCTAGCACTCTACTTTTTTTTGGGGGGGGGAGGGGGAGTCCGGTCGTGGGCCTGAACTCTGGGCCTGGGCGCTGTCCCTCAGCTCTTCAGCTCAAGGCTAGCACTCTACCACTTGAGCCACAGAACCACTTCCGGCTTTTTTCTTTTTGCTTATGTGGTGCTGAGGAATCGAACCCAGGGCCTCATGCATTCAAGGCAAGCGCTCTACCACTGAGCCACCTACCCAGCCCCTAGCACTCTAATTTTTGAGCCACAGCACCACTCACTTCCAGTTTTCTGGTGGTTCATTGGAGGCAAGAATTTCCCGCCAGGGCTGGCTTTCAACTGTGATCTTCAGATCTCAGCCTTCTGAGTAGCTAGGATTATAGGTGTGAGCCACCAGCGCCAGGTTCCTAACATTTTCTTAAATTCACCACTGTGTACTGTAGTTATGGAGGGTCTTAAGTGGGCCTGAGGTGCAGGACATAAAGCCAACTGAATAACTGAAGAGGTAGATTTTTGGTAGAGAGCAAAACACTCCAAGTTTCCTATTGGCTATAGCTTATGATGATGGCCATTATAACCCTACCATTTCTAGGTCCTACTAAACATAAAGCAACCCCAATCAGATCCTCCTCTCTGACATACCTGCTTTCTCAAGGCACTGCACAAAAAGAAAGGCATGATGTACCTGCCTTGCGGGCACTGGCTACGTGACTGAGACAGCTGTTCTATTAAATGTACATACATTAAAAAGGAGCTAAAGACTTCATTATATGTAAACAAAAGGGTCAATGTAGTTAATTAGAGGGAGAGTAGGGGTGTGGTGGGAATTACATTGTAGAGTGACTGTCTTGTTAGCAAGTGGGCTAAGGACTTGGTGGCACGGAACCCGCAATTATTGCCATCTTATAATTATGACGTGTCAGTCATAAGAAATCATTTAAGGAAAGCATTATGAAGAAGTAACGCCTTACCGAGACAATGACGTCTGAACTACTTGGAGGATTTCAACTACCACACCCTCAGACTCTTAGGAGAGTCCTGAATTTAACACCATATTCATTAACTCACTTAAATACTTGCCATGTTTCTTCTAGGGACTAGGACCTGATTTAGGTAGACATTCAGGATACAAGTCAAGAGAGCTGAGTGTAGTAGTGCCTGCCTGTCATACGGCTCCATGAGAGGTGGGGGGAGGAAGATGGTCATCTGAGGCTGGCCTGGACAAAAGTGTGAGACTCAATCTGAAAAATAACTAAAGTAAAAAGGCTGGAGGTGGTTCCGTTGTTGGAGTATCTGCCTAGCAAGTAAAAAAGCCCTGAGAGACACACAAACACACAATCAGTGCCTACTCAAGTGTAGGCATTTGGAAATGAAAAATACGTAAGTGGTAGAAAGCAATATTTGAGTAACCCAGGATATAGTAACCCAGGGTATGAGCCAATCAGTCTAGTCATCCTTGACTGTGACTGGGTTCTATCGCTATTATTTCATCATTTGCTTCATTTTAATACTCTTCTGCCCTGGCATGTTTCATTATAATTCCTCTTGAGCAGTATATTAATTGATGTATTCATGGATTCACTCATTAAAATAAATGTTTACACCCTGAACCTGTTTTCTCACCAACAAAAGAGAAATAATGATTATCACTTACCAAGTTGACAAGAAGTTGAGGCTCAGATCTGCAACGATAAGGTATGTGAAAGCACTTTGTAAAGCAAGTACCAGCATCATTAATGTAATTGGATCTGTGAGTCAGACTGAATACGGCCTGGTCTTTCCCATCCTGTCCATTAGCACATTGGTCCATTGCTTTTCTTTTCAGATCCATCTATATCCTCTTCCACCTGAACCGTGAAGTGTAATCTCTTATTGGTCAGCCCTTTTCTTCCTTCTGTCTTCTCAAACACTTTCTCTATTTTAGCCAATACAGTATTTTTTTTTAACGCAAACCCGATTGTATTGCTACTTGCTTAAAATATCATTCAGTAGCTTTCCACTACGCCTCAAAATAAAACCCAAATCCTCAACTCTGAAAGATTTAACCCTTGCCTTTCTTGCACTTGTTCTTTGAATTGCTCCCTATTTTAAAGCTTTGTACATGCTATTTAGTTTCTCTCCTACTACCCCATCCCATGCCCATTATCTAGCTAACTTCCCTTGATGGTTGCTGTTTCTCAGTTTAAATATCACTTTCTTGCAAAAGCCTACCCTGACCTCCACTTCTAGGTCTGAGAGCTCAGAACTCTTTTATAGGACTTTTCACAATGACAGCTGTGTGTGTACCATCTGTCGCCCCCTGCTGGAATATAAATGGTGACAGAGACACATCTATTTAATTTACTAGTGGACTGTCAGTGCCTGTATAAGGAATGTATAATTCCTGGTATCCAATAATGCTCAATATACATTAATTTCACAAATGAAGAAGTACATTCTTCTCAGATGCACGCTAGCTGGGGGGGCTGCTTTTCTGCAGAGTTAGGGAGCTGGTCCAGTGTGAGATCATCCTGATTTCAGACTCCAAGCCACCAGAAGGGTGAGGTAATGCCTGTTATTCTGAACACGAGGGGTCTATAGGACTTTACGTGGCATCCCAGGCTGATGAATAATATCTTCTGAAAAAGCCACCTCCTCTTATACTCCCTGCCGCACTGCAACAGCATCACTATTCTCTTGTATACTCGGATTTTTATCTTTGGCAATCGAATTGGCAAACATTCTATCTTAGGGTAGTTTTATTTTGCATTTTTATGAAGTGAGGCTGGACATCTTTTCATAAATATAAGAGATTTATATTTCATTTTGTATGAATTGTCTAGCATATCCTTTATCCATTTTTCCATTGTTTTGTTCTTTTTAAAAATTGATTTGTAGGCAACTTTTATTTTGGCAATGTTGGGGTTTGAACTTAGTGCCTTCTAGGCAAATCCTGTATCACTTGAGCTATACCTTCAGTTCAACAACTTTTACATTACAGAAATGAATTCCTTGTGATTTTGTTCAATTTATTAATTACCTTTTAACTTTCAATTTATTAATTACCTTCACAATTTATCAATATATTTATTGCTTGTAGGCTTTGCATATATATGCATATATAGTTGTTGTTTTGGTGTTGTTTGTGTCAATTCTGAGGCTTTAATTCAATGCCTGGGCACTGTCCTTGAGTTTTTTGCTCTACCACTTGAGCCACAGCTCCTCTTCTGGCTTGTTGCTGATTAATTGGAGGTAAGAGTCTCATGGACTTTCCTGCCCAGTCTGGCTTTGAACCTTGATCCTCAGATTTCAGCCTCCTGAGTAACTAGGATTACAAGTGTGAGACACTGGCGCCTACTTCTGCTTTCATTTTCTTTTTTCTTTTCTTTTTTTGTGTCAGTCGTGGGGCCTGAACTCTGGGCACTAGTGCTCTACCACTTGAGCCACAGCACCACATCCAGCTTTTTCTGCTTATGTGGTACTGAGGAATTGAACCCAGGACCTCATGTATGCAAGGCAAGCACTCTACCACTGAGCCACCTTCCCAGCCCTCTGCTTTCATTTTCTAATTGGTTATTGACTACTTGAGCCACAGCACCACTTCTGACTTTTTCTTTTCTTTTTTCTTTTTCTTTTGTCAGTCATGGATGGGTCTTGAACTCTGTCCTGGGTGCTGTCCCTGCGCTCTTCAACTCAAGGCGAGCACTCTACTGCTTAAGTCACAGTGCCACTTCTGGTTTTCTAGTGGTTTATTGGAGATAAGAGTCTCACAGACTTTCCTGCCTTGGCTGGCTTTAAACTTTGATCCTTAGATCTCAGACTCCTGAGTAGCTAGGATTACAGGCATTAGCTATCAGTGCCAGGCTTGTATCTCCAGTTCTTATGAGAATTCTTTCTCGGTGAGAAGACAATAGTTTTGATTTTTCACATAACATTTCTTTAAGAAGATAATAGTTCAAAGTTTTGAAAGCTACACAGTAGCAAAATCACCTCTCTATCCTATCCCTGTGTGTGGTTTTGTGGTCTGTACTGTATCCTTTACAGGCATCCTATTTCATGCATCTATGCAATAAGGACAGAGGTCCCTAGGGAACTTCGGGTGACTCAACCTCAGATGCCCAGGCCAAAGCTCAGGAAGGCCTCGAAGGGCCGGACATGAGGTTCTATCCTGTGTCTTGCATCATTCAGTGGTTAAGCAAGCAGAAATTGAAAAGACCCTACGGTGAGGCCCAAGACAGTTCCAAACCTTTTCTGGTAGGGTGTCCCAGACTGAGGCATCTTAGAAGTACTGGCCTCATGCCCATTTAGTCATCTTAGTGCCAGGGCTTAGAGGACTATGTTTTGTTTTGTTTTGTTTTGTTTTTTCATATACTGAGGTTTGAATTCAAGCTCTTATACTTGCTAGGCTGGCACTCTACCCTGGGAGCCATACCTTCAGCCCAATGTATTTTTTTTAGTATATTTTAATTGTACAAGGTTAGAGGTTTCTTTTTTCTTTTTTTTTTTTTGGTCCAGTCATGGGGCCTGAACTCTGGGCCTGGGCACTGTCCCTCAGCTCTTCAGCTCAAGGCTAGCGCTCTACCATTGAGCCACAGCGCCGCTTCCGGCTTTTTTTCTTTTTGCTTATGTGGTGCTGAGGAATCAAACCCAGGGCCTCATGCATGCAAGGCAAGCACTCTACCACTGAGCCACCTTCCCAGTCCACAAGGTTAGAGGTTTCATTGTAAACTTTCCATGTATGTATATATTGTCCTTAGAGTATATTCAACCCTGTATTACTCTTCCTTATTCTTCTTTCCTCAACCTCAACCTTACTTACTTTATATGAGTTTCATTATAATCTTTTTATCTGTATATACAATGTGCCTGGATATATATACCTTATTTCCCCCAACCTATTTCCTGCTGTTCTCTATATCCTCCATCTACATTCAAGGACTTTAAAAACACTTTTTTTTTTAACCAATAAACTCTACTTCCTTATCTCTTCTAGACAGATGGATTTCAGACACACAGGCTCTCTCTGTATATCATCAAAAACAGCCCATGAGCATCTAGCAACTTGGAACTCACAACAGGTTTCAGGCCTGAAATTTAAAGTTTGGGCATGGGCCCCTGCTTGAAGAGTCACTCCTTCCACAGTCCCACCCCTAAGGGGCTCTTGAGGTTACTGAAGAAAGAGGATAAGAGAGTTCTTGGAGGATTTTCCTGCCAGCAGATCTTCCCACCACCTCTTTCACTTTAGACCTGTCTCATAGTCCTGGCCTAGGTCTCCCCTGGCACAAGAGATATGTTAAAAAAAAAAAAAAACAAACCCAGGAGGGAGACCCTCCCAGCATCTGGTCTAAGAGATAACAGCCGTGAGGGAGCAAGAGAGAAGGGATCCATCAGAGAGCTCACGAGGAGAGTGGAGAGAAATTTCGCTACTTACGGATTCTTATGCCAACAGAAGCACTCTATCATTTTTCGCTCCGGAAGATAGACTTGAAGGCAGGCATTTTCTGTGTGCGTGTGGGTTAGAGCAGCCTTCTGCCATGGGACAAGGTGAGCCAACCCTGTTCTTCCTAGGACTTACTGGACTGCCACTGGTGGTGACATCACGGTGTGTTTTAATTAAAGGAAGCAGGATAGTGGTGGAAGTGATGGTGGTATGCCTATGAAGTCGGGGAGAAGTAAGGTGGTACTAAGGAGGGGAGGTGACACTGGTGTGACTACAGAGTGGGGGGAATGTGGGGGGCAGGGTGGGGAAGGAGAGGTGTGGTTATGGAGTACTAACGGTTGTACGGTGATCCACGTGTAAAGCCGGCGGTGGGAGGGTGATGATGGTTACTGGGGATTTATCACTGGGCTGTGATATACATCTCACCGGTGCCCAGAGAAAGCACAAGGATGTCATAGCCCCAAAGTGCCATGGCAGAGAAGGGAAGTAGGAGGTAGAGGAGCGTGCAGAAATTCAGAGGCCTCTGCAAGGCTCTGTCAGAACAGGCTCGGGTGCAGGGCCTGTATGTCACATCTGAGGAACTCTGCTTGGGGCCGACTCAGTGTTCTCATCGAATATGGAATAAACTCCAATTGGGGAGTTGTTGTGTACAACGCATCACTGAGCAGAGGATACAGACTTGCAGTCAACACTGTGTCTCACAATGAGGTGGGGAACAGAGGGTTAAGCAAGGGGTAGCTATAAACTGCAGTCAGTGCTAAACAGAATAGAGCAGAGCACTGTGGGAGCTCAGCGGATGGGCCTCTGCATGGAAGAATCTGTGATGGCTTTAGAGGTAGGTGCCTTTGAATTTTGGAAGATGGACAGACACTTGCCGGGTGGGGAAAAAAAAAAGGCAGCAGAAGCCTTCTAGACAGAACTATAATCAAAACAAATTCTAAAGAGTGCCTCTTGTTGTAACACTGTAGCCATAATGGGGATCCCATACACCAAGCCTCAATTCATTGAATACCATTCCACAGACCATTCCAACTCAACCAGCCCAACCTAGGCCCCAGGATCAGCCTTGTGCAAAGAGAGGAGAATCATTGCCGGTTTCTGTGTGCTGCTCTACCTCTATGTACAAATCTGAGCCTGGCTAAGGGTAGATGTATACTGCCATGGCTGCACTGGTGGATGAGAGGGACACTGGGCCCCAGGGGCACCCATGAGCACCTGGACCAGATATGCACATTCATAATAACGCCAGTGCTTTCTCCCTAATATTGTATCACTGTCACTGTCTCTCAGCTCCATCACTAATGAACTGAGAAGGTGGTCTCTTCCTTCCTCTCTTCATTCATCTCTCTGTTCTTGAGCTCTAAGCCAGAAAGGTTGGGAACTGAAGATTTGAAGCAGCCAGTTTTGAATTGGCCAAGACAAGAATTGGAGTCTAAAAGACTTTTCTATTGGGGCTAGGAAGGTAGCTCAGTGGTAGAGCGCTTGCCTCACATGCATGAGGCCCTGGGTTCAATTTCTCAGCACCACATAAGCAGAAAAAGCTGGAAGTGGTGCTGTGGCTCAAGTGGTAGAGCGCTAGCCTTCAGCTGAAGAGCTGAGGAACAGTGCCCAGACCCAGAGTTCAGACCCCATGACTGAACCCCCCCCCTCCCGAAAAAAAAGGAAGACTTTTCCATCAGGGTCAGATGACTTTGCTGCAGTAGATCAGACCCTATTCCACACACTTTCTCCCACCAAGGAATAAAAACTAACTCCATTGCTTGTACAAGGAACTAAGTTTTTGTGTTTTTTTTTCAGTGTGTGTCTTGCTTTAGGTTTGCTGAGCATTTCTTAAAAATTCCCTTGTTTTTTCCTCCCTCTATAAAGTGCCCTGACACTCTCAGGCCACCATCCTGTAGAGTCTTTCTGGCCTGCATGGTCCTGTACGTTGGTAAGCCTTCATGTAAAAGAGCAGAGATGAGCTCAGGTGAACTCTTGGCCTCACCTGAGGTCATCTTCTTAAGAAAATGAAAGAATTAGACTCAGTGATATAAAACCAATATACCAATGTAAAACCACAGATAATCTTGAAATTATCTGATTGTCCTCTAAGAAGAAAAGGGTACAAGGAGCAAGATTCTGCATTTTATTTATGGCTAGGAATTGGAAGCGGAAAAGGAGGCCAAGTATGAAAACATGCATTGCTGTCTCTAATAATAATTATATTACAGTTATAATTATTATTATCACAGCAACAACAGTACCATGTGCGTCTGACACTAAGGTATCACACATACACTGTACCTAATCCCTACCACTCTGCAAGAGGGCATGGTTATTTTAAGAAGAAAGCTGAGTTACTTCAGACAACTTATCTGGAGTAGCACCAATGAGCAGATGGAGCTAAGCACTTGAACACTGGTCTCTCTGACTCCAGAATCACTGCTCTAACTTCTGTTGTCACATTTACTTCGTATCCATAATTTCTCTCTTGTCTACAACAGCCCTGGGTATCAAGAGCTGTGACTTCCAGGCAGCAAAGAACAATGAGGAACACCATACCAAGGCCATTAGCTCTCAGCACCTGACTGTGCGGAGAGGGCAGCCTTTCACCATCACGGTACACTTCCGTACCCCGGTCCACACATTTCTGCCTACCCTGAAGAAGGTCGCCCTTGTCGCACAAACTGGTAAGTGGGAGGGATCTAGACCCCACTGGCCACAAAACTGGGAGGGTCTCTTTCCAGCATCATTTTAGGGAATCAAGGGACTAATGGCTCACATTGCAGTTGGGCCTTCATAAGTTGTAGCCACCTTTTAGGTTCGTATGCCTAGTAAGTGTTACTTAGGATGCCTGTAATCTCATCTACTCAGGAAATCTTGGAATATCGTGGATCCAGGTCAATTCAGGCAAAAATGTTGTGAGGTTGCATCCCAGTGCAAGAAGCTGGGTGTAGTGGTACACATCTGTCATCCCAGCTACTGCAGGAAGCATAAACAGGAGGATCACAGTCTGGGTGCAGGCCCTGGTAAAATGCAAGACTAATCATGGACATGTGGCTCGGTGTAAGAGTGCCTGACTAGTAAGCACAAAGTCCTGAGTTCAAAACCTAGTACAGTGTGTATGTACCTTATACTAATTTAGAAGTTTTAGAAGTTCTTCTATGGCATCTCCCCTAAGAACTTTGTTTTGGCTGAAAAATATAATATTGGCTATCTAGAAGGCTGAAGGAGGGCTAACTATAAAAAGTGGCAGTATTTATTGAATCTGTATTACATAGCACATATTAAACCAAGTACTTTACATGTAGTACTTACATTGTTCCTAAGAAGCAAGTATGGTCTGTGAGTTCCAAATCCTTGGATTCAACCAGTCATGGGTAGAACACATCTAGAAAAAAAAGTGCTTTTACAAAACAAATGTAGACATGTTTCTTGATGCTATTCCTTCAACCATACAGCATAAAATTATACCAAATTGCCTAAGATGCTGTAAGTAACAAAGAGATAATTTAAAGAATATGGGAGAATGTAGTTTATGTGATTTTATATAAAAATGGACTTAAGCATCCTTGGGTTTTGGTATCTGCAGAAGGCCCTGGAATCAATCCCTCACAGATACAAGGGGACAGCTACACTATGATTCTATGGTACTAAGGTTGGAAATCTGGGCCTTGAATGTGAGCATTTAACACTCTACCTCTTGATCTCTACTCTTAGTCCTCTTTGCCTTCTTTCTTTTTTCAAATAGGGTCTCATTGTGTAGATCCTGGCTGGCCTGGACTATGATTCTTTTTTGTAGGCTTCCCACATAGCTTGGATGGCAGATACATACTACATTGATTGTGATAAAGTCTCACGTTCATACCCAGGCTGGTCCTGAATCATAATCTTCCTGATCTCCACTTCCTGAGTAGCTAGGAATACAGGCATGAGTTTATTATGGCTATTTATTTTATAGATCAGGAAGCTTTCACAAGAGTTTGTAAAAGTTCATGAGAACACTGGGAGGCTCTGCTACCCCAGCATCGTTCACCATCCTTCGTTTGTAGTCCAGCTTCTTTCGTTTTTCTGCAAAACCAATTTTTGACCTTCTCCATCTTTATAATACACCTTGACTTTATTAGTCTGAGCTGCAAACTAAGTCCAATGACTTAATTCATTACTGTGCACTTGCAGGAGAGCAGCCTTCTAAGATCAACAGGACACAGGCCACATTCTCCATCTCCTCTCTGGGGGAAAAAAAACAGTGGAGCGCAGTGGTAGAGGATAGAGATGCCCAGTGCTGGACCATTTCTGTGACCTCACCTGTGGATGCTATCATTGGCCACTACTCACTCCTGCTACAGGTCGCAGGCAAGAAGCAATACCAGTTGGGACAATTCACATTGCTTTTTAACCCCTGGAATAGAGGTGAGTTTGGACTAAGACCCAGAGGCTGGGGGTACAGCTTTATCAGGAGTATCTACCCACAGGGAACTGTGGGAAGTCCTGTCTGGTGTGTTAGTCCTAGCAGAAACAGCCTGGGGATTCTCACAGAGAGAAAAAACTTAGCTGGGCACCAATGGCTCACAGCTATATTTCTTGTTACTTAGGAGGCTGAAAATAGGAGAATTGTGGTGCAAGGCCAGTTCAAGAGACACCCTGCCCCACTTTCTCAGCCCATAGTTGATACAGTGGCTCCTCCTATGTGAGGAGCTGGGTTTGGGAATATTGTAGTTCTGGGCCAGCTGAATAGCCATATTTCCAGTATCCACCTCCCTGTGTGGTTAAGTGTGGATTCAGGCTTCAGCTGGTTTTTCACTGAATGACAGGAAGACCTTCAAGCCTTTTTCCTCCAAAGATGAGGTATTGGGGTATCCCTAGTTGACTGACTTGGAGTTATATCCAAGAAAAGTGGATACATCGTTTTCTTGTGCTCTTCCCAGATGCCTGCAGATCCTGAACCAAACACCTCTCTGAACAATGATTGCTAAAGCAGTGCCTAGCTGAACTCACTTGGGATGGATCCTCATCCCAGCTGGGTACCAGGAGGGACCTGGAAAGCTGTAGATGGAATCTTGTGGATTCTCCTCTCCACCCCACCCCGCTCCTGCCGTTCAAACCTTGATCCTTCCGATCACCACTTCCCAAGTAGCTAGGATAAAAACATCCTCAGTCTGAAAATTCCCCACTCTGCCCCCGCACCAGGTCACAGAGACAGAATCTGGCAAGCAGAGCCTTCTCTTCTAGTGTTCCCAGCTTCCTAGCATGGACAATGGCCTTTTTAAAGATGCTGGCTTTCTCATGGTGCCCAGCCACACCCTTCAGGGAAATAGGAGAGGTACCAGGAAGTCTGTACAAGTCCTAGATCCACTGGACTCCCCACTGGGGAAGAAGTCCAGTGGTTGGACTTCCACTTCTCCATCCCTACTGCTTTATGCACCTTGCTGCTCAATCCACCTCTTCTTTGGGCTCATTCCACTTAGCCTCTACCATTTTTTTCACCCTGAAATACTTTTTTTCTGGACACAAATTAAACTTGTAGGAAGGACATAACGAGTCACTGGGGTGCTCCCTAGGCTGCTGCCCATTTCTCTTGGCGCAGCAGTGCTCTGGTTGTGAGCTCTTCTGGGAACTTTTTGGCCTTTCAGGCCACCCCCTGACGGACCCAGAGTCTCTGAACTGAGTTCCCCGAGAGATACTTCTTCCTCAAAAGTTAGGCCCAGAACTACAAGGTTAGCCTTCAGCCAAACCTTATCTGGAGTGGGGAGAGGGTCAGGTCTGTCATCCCCAGACCCTCATCTTCTCTTGCTTCTCTTGCCAGATGACCCTGTATTTCTACAGAATGAGGCTCAACGCTCTGAGTATGTGCTGAACCAGAATGGCCTCATCTACCTGGGCACAGCTGATTTCATCCAGGAAGAGCCCTGGAACTTTGGCCAGGTAACAGGAACCTCTGGGGGGAGGGGAGGGACAGTAGCTATCCTATCAATGTGCAGACCAGACACAGCTGGCAGGCCCAGAAGCCCCTGGTCATGAGGCCATCTCTTTATCAAACCATTTTAGCCCTTTGGAGCCTTCTTTTCCTCTGGGCCACATTGCACCATCTTCTACAGTTGCCAGAGTTATTGTTCGAAAAGCTGTGGCTAATCCAAACTCTGTTAATCCCTACTATCCACAGGACAGAGATCCAATGCCCTGGCCTGACATCCAAACCACTGCTTTCTCTTCCCTCGAGCTAACCTATCAACCAGTTCTACAGCATAAATGGCTCAGAGTTCACTCTTATAATTGTTTCCCTCCTCTATGCCACAGAATACTCCTCTCTTACAACCTTCTGAATGATTCCTTCTGTCCTCACAGGCAGTGGAAATCTGTGGCTGTGTCCTCTGTGCTTCTCTGCTGTCTTTCTAGAGACCTGGTCATGTTACTACAATCTCTAATCCGAGGGATCATGTGACCATCTTCAATCCTAAACAGGGGTCTGGGATGGGGACTCCAAAGCCTGAGCTGTCACAGGAGCTTCCTCAATGAAAACAAAACTACACATGATTATCCTATCAAGAGAGTCAGACCACAGAACAGGCAAAGGACTGATACACAGGGGTTAGGGTGCACAGTGAGTGAGAGGGAAAGACACAAAGAGACAGACAGAGGAAGAAAGCTAGATCTCACATAGAATCTGAGTGAAGGATGAGAGGACAGGAAGACTATGCTGTGGAATGAGAAGGCTGGCCTGCAGACCTTCATATTGGCTCTGTGCGGTCCTTCCAGTTCCAGACCGATGTCGTGGACCTCAGCCTTGGCTTGCAGGGTGTGGATGAGCAGCTGGAGAAGTGGAGCCAGCCCATGCACGTGGCCCAAGCGTGGGGCGTTTTGGTGAGTACACGTAGCTTTGCTCACCCAAAGTGAGGTGTGGGAGTCGGCTGTTGTTGCTGCAGTGATCGTACAGATTTCTCTTTATGCCAAAATGTTCCTAAGGTGATATGGTGCTTTGCCTTGTTCCAAAAAACCCTCTCAGTGGAGCAATGTGTTCTCTATTTCCTCTTGCGCCTCTGAGGTCTCTTCTGAAGAGGTGATGAGGTGGCAAGGCCAGTCTGTGAGGGAGAGAAAGCTTGGGATAAGTGGTAGCTAAGACCCAGGACAGACAACCTGGCAGGACTCAGGGCAGGGAAAGCTCAGGAAGAGTGGATCCAGCTCCTAATGAAGGTTGGCTCTTGTGCTCCTCTCTGTGGCCAGCACTAGAGGACTGAAGTAGAAGGGGAAGTCCTATCCTCAGCTCTAGAAATGACCACCCAGAGGACCCAGGCTAAGCCCAGGCTTTAGAAGTCCTGGATCTTTCTGTTCAGTGCTTTGAGGCTTCCAATGAGCCTGCAAAATGTCCTGCGGCAGGACCCGCACTAATACCCATCTATCTCCTTGAACAGCTGCACGCTCTCAAGAAGAAGAGAGTCCTGTCCACTCCGCAGAGCCAGGCCACCCAGGAGAGGGCCTTGCTGAACAAGCGCCGGGGCAGCGCACCCATCCTGAGGCAGTGGCTCACAGGCCGAGGGAGACCAGTGCATGAAAGCCAGGCCTGGGTACTGGCTGCTGTTGCTTGCACAGGTACAAAGCAGGTGATGCATGGGTTAGTCACTGCAGTACAGTATCCATCCTGCATGTTGGGTTTGTTCCTTGGTCTCTCATGAAGGAGAAACACTTTCAAAAGCTGGTGCTGTCTCCATTTTTTAGACTTCCTCTACTTTTTTTTTTTTTTTTGTTGGTCATGGGGCTTGAACTCTGGGCCTGGGCGCTTTCCCTCAGCTCTTCAGCTCAAGGCTAGGGCTCTACCACTTGAGCTACAGTGCCACTTCTGGTTTTCTGGTGGTTATTTGGAGATGAGTCTCATGGAGTTTCCTGCCTGGGCTGGCTTTGAACCATGATCCTCAGATCTAAGCCTCCTGAGTAGCTAGGATTACAGGTGTGAACCACTGGTACCCAGCAACTTCCTCCACTTTCATCATACCCATAGGTGTTTCTTCCCACCAGTCTCTGCATCTTTGTCCTTGCAAGCTGGGCCTGTTTGCAAACTCTGCTCCTTTGGTCACTTTCCTCCAGAAACTTTACCCAACCATCTCCCACTCTGTGCTATGTAACTTGGACCTCATTGATCAGCCTTCATACATCTTGCTCTTGGGAATTAGAATCTTACTTCCTGGTACCTCTATTCCTCTTCCCATACACTCACACCAGATATTTAAGTCAGAACTTGCCCACAAGGATGCTGAAAACCTTCGTCTTTCACAATGCAGCCTTGCCCTAGCCTAAGTCTCTCTGCAACCTCTGATACTCTGTGCCTCTTCCATGCAGTACTGCGATGCCTGGGAATCCCGGCCCGTGTTGTTACCACATTCACCTCAGCCCAGGGCACCAGCGGGGGCTTGCAGGTGGACGAGTACTACAATGAGGAGGGGCTGCAGAATGGAGAAAGCCAGACAGGCCGAATCTGGTGAGAAGCCCAATGGAGATGAGGTTCCAGACCAGAAAAGGCATACATAAGCTCTGTTTAAACTCAATGGAAGCCCTAAACCCTAAGTGGTTCTTGGTTGAGAGCATGCCTTTAGGACTCTCGGAGACTGATGCTGATAGGTGGTTCAGCATATCACTTCCTGGGAGTGTCACAGCCACTTATATACAGTATTATCCCATCCCCATGGTAATGACAACTCTCTAAACTACACTGCTAGAGCCTCCTCTATACCTTTTTCCCTCCATTTGAGTTTTTGCCTTTGCTATCTTCAGGGTTTTTCAGACTTCTGTAGAGTGCTGGATGACCAGGCTTGATTTGCCCCAGGGTTATGACGGATGGCAGATCCTCTATCCAAGAGGTAAACCCAACAGGGGTGGGGAGATGTCTATGCAGAGCTGCAAGAGCTGACGGGGTGTCCCTCAGAGAGGAAGCAGGAGCCACAAGTGGTCAAAGGAGGTCTTCATTCCCTAAAATAGAAGAAGGAGGAATGATGATGGCCAGCAGAAGACAGACAGGGAGTAAAGATATCAGCCATTCCAGTCACAAACTGTTGAGGATTGTAGGTCACCTCTGAGCAACAAAGGAGTTATGTCTCAATGAAGGAATAAAAGTCTTAGATGGCTGGTGGATGTGCTGGGGTAAGGACTTGCAGGGTGTGATTTCTAAGGTTTTGGTTATGGATGAAAAAGATCACAGGGGTTGGAGGTGTGGCTCAATTGGTAGAACACCAGCCAATGAGCAAAGCATCAGGTGCAGAGTCCAAGTCCCTGTCTCACAACAACAAAAAAAAAGAAAGAAAGAAAAAAGAAAAAAAAAGGAAAAGAAAATCATAGGATAGGTTGATGCCCTCTGAAGGAAACTTAAGCAAGCATAAAACATTGGTACTTCTTGCAGAACAGAACTGTCAAGAGAGCCTGACACACAGCAAGTACTAAACCAAAGTGACTCATTGTAGTCATATCAGGAGGAAAGCTATCTTAGGAGTTCCTGTCTATAAAGTATATTTCTTTGAAGTCCTTCCTGTCTAGCTTCTGAGAGGGCCCAGTGATAGCACAGAACCAAAATTATTTTTAAGTTTCATCTCTGTGATGCCCTCTTAGAAATCCCACCCAGTTACCCACCTTCTGACCTTGATCCTTGGAAGGAGAAAACAGGGTATTTTCCTAGGATAGAGACCAGTGTGATGCAGCTCTAAGCAGAGAAGAGCTCTGCGAGTTGCTTCCTTGCTGACTGACCTTTCTCTCCCTCAGGCTGGGGGTCCTGTGATCTGGTCCCAGTCAGAGCAGTCAAGGAGGGAGCACTGGGACTGAGCCCTGCAGTGTCAGAACTTTTTGCCATGGTAAATGCTTCGTGTGTAGTCTGGAAGTGCTGTGAGGATGGAAAACTAGAGTTGACTAACTCCAACACCAAATATGTTGGCAACAATATCAGCACCAAGGTTGTGGGCAGTGACCGCTGTGAGGATATCACTCACAACTACAAGTATCCTGAAGGTACTGGCTGGGAGAGGGGCCAGGTTTCTGAGCATCTGCAACAGCAAATGAGGCAAAGTGATGTAGACCAGAAAGCGTCCTGCAGAGACCCCTTCATTGTAGAAAGCTGCACATCATAGAACATTTGCAGCACTGTTGGCCTCTCTTTCCATGAGATACCAGCACACTTACATGTACTAGTTGTGACAACCACAGAAAGTCTTCAGCCATCTTTGCACATCCCCTGGGGCCATTCTCCCCCAACCCCTCCAGCTTTGAGAATTGCTGCTATGAAGCTGCTATGAATCAATACTAAGTCCAGCCCTAGTACACTTTGGATATTGTCTCTTCTCTCTTCCTCTCCTCCAATACTTCCCAATTCTTCCTCCACATTAGCCAATGGCGCTGCTCTTCATCTATTTGTCCAAACATCACACACTATCCTTGCCTGACTGTCTCCCAAGCTCTTTCCCACTGTCTAGTTAAGCCAGGACTTCCTCTCAGCTTGACTACAGGATTGCAAAGTTAGCTCGCTCACTTTGTTCCCTATCTCCAGTCTCTTTCTCATGGTTCCTTCCCAACTTCCACTTTCCAAAATGAGCACTCCCAAAATATATCATTTTGCTACCACTGGCTCCCTACTGTAAAATAGTCCATGGTTTCCAAGGTCTTTGGATTAAGTCCAAATTCCTACAGAGGAAGCTTCAATCCCCAGCAAAACTGTCCTCAACAACAGTGTTTGTCTCACAGCTTGTTCTCTCCTTACTCAGGGGACAATTTTATATCATTTGGAAATCATATCCCAAGATAGTATCTGCTCTATCTGTTTATTTAGCTCTGCCTACACAAGCTTTTTGTGGTTAAATGTGGCCTTAGGCATTTGCAAAGCTTGTGTCATTTTTGGCATCTGAGCCAAAATCCTGGGTTTTTAAGGATCTGTATCTAGTATATAAGAGCCCTGCTTTGTCTCTTCTATTCCTCAGGCTCTCTTGAAGAAAAAGAGGTGCTGGAGAGAGTCCAGAAAGAGAGAATGAAACATGGAAAAGATAACGACATCCGTCATTTAAGTCTTGAGCAGACTGATCCTCTGTACCTATTCTTGGAAGCACCGAGCTCCCTCCCCCTTACAGGAGATGCCCAGCTCTCAGTCACCCTGATTAACCCCAGTGACCACGAGAAGATAGTGCAACTGGTGATTGGAGCCCAAGCTGTGTACTACAGTGGAGTCCTTGCTGCTGATCTGTGGAGGGAGAAGCAGTCCCTTGGGCTCAGGGCCAACCAGGGTAACTGTCTATGGCTCTACCAGACACCCTTCCACACACACCTACCTTTACCCTGGCACCACCAAAGGTCTTCTGGTGCTTATGCTCTCTCCTTCAGTTACTCAACATATAGTTACTGGACCTAATGCTAAGGGGAGAAAACCACCATTCCAACTGCAGTCAAATAAGCAAACAGACCCATCACAGTAGTGAGGAAACTTCTGAGCAAGAGTGGGAGGCAGAAGAGCATCTCATCCAGGCTACACCAGGCTGTCCCCAAATGAGTCACACTACACTGAGTCTTGAAGGCCAAATAGGAGTGAGGTAGTAAAGTACAGGTCTCCTGACTCTGTCATGTGTTTCAGTTACAAGAATAACCACCAGCCTGTCCTTCTCCCACTTTGAGCGAAACCCACCTGAGAACACGTTCCTCAGAATCACTGCAGTGGCAACCCACTCCGAGTCAAGCCTCAGCTGCTTTGCTCAAGAAGATGTTGCCATTCGTAGACCGCACCTTGTCATCAAGGTAGGCACCAATCCTCTCCCAAACTGCTCATCCCTGGGATGGAACTGTTGCCATTATTCAAATGAGGAAAACAAGTAGAAAGAGCAACATGCTCAAGTTCAGAAAAGTAAGAAGTTCTAAAAACTCATGACTCTTGGTCCAGCCCTCTTTCCACCAGCCTACTCTGGCTAAAATGAATGAGATCTGATCCCTGCCCTGGAGGAACTTATAATTTGGTAAGAGAGACACAGCAGTTGGGCTTCTATATGAATGCTTTAAAAGAGATCCAAAATCATGTGAAGTAGAGGGCTGATTTCAAGTGGTGGGCTTGGGGACAATTTCATGAAAGAGCTAGTATTTATGTTGGGCCTTGAAAAATGGGTTTACTTTAAGTGTAAAGGTAAGGGAAGCCACTGAAGACAGAAAGAGATACTGGGGATGAGAAAGTTTCCAGCAAGGCAGAAGTGTAATTTAGTAACAGGAAAAACAGGTGAAGCTGGAGAGGTGGGTTGAGGACGAATAATGAATTATTACCAAGTTGAATTCCAAAGACAAAAAGCCCTCCAAGGTGTGGAGAAGAGGCACCACTGCGGGCTGTCTGCGATGAGTAAGGGCCAATATAGGAAGGGAAAAGACAGAAGGTCAAGAAGTCAGCTGTGTTGGTTTGAAGGAGATAAGGGAGTTTACCACAGAAGCCTTGACTATGGCACCACCCCACATGTTGCCTCTTCCTACAGATGCCAGAGGGAGCGAAACAGTTTCAGCCTCTTACAGTCTCAGTCAGCATCCATAACTCCTTAGATTCCCCTGTGAAGGACTGCATGATCTCCATCTTTGGAAGGGGGCTAATTCACAAAGAAAGGAGGTACAGGTAAGAGACTACATGCTTCTCATTCACCAAAAGATCTTACCTGGTCAGAAAGGTGGAGACCCAAAATACAGAATTTTAAAACCACCACCTGTCTTCTTGGTTATATCAAATATCTCCAGAAGTTGAATTCAACTATTAAAGCTATCAAGTGCCTCTCATCCTGGGACAATTGAGTTTTGCAGGGAGATGAGACTAAAGGAGTTTACGTATGTAAATGCTTTAACAGAGACCACAATCATGTGCCCTCGATGCTTCCTGGTCATGACGAAGAGTCAGGTATTGCTAGTGAATAATGCAGGGAGATCAGGGCTAGGTACTGGAGACATCACAGGTAGGTACACTGCCTTTCAGCACTGTGCTCCACTAATCAGCATACTGATAGATACTTTCTTTAGTTCCTTTTTCTATTTTCATTTCTACTCTTTATATTCTTTGGGGTGTGGAGCCTTTCGTTAGTATATGTAAAATATACTGCTACTTCACAACAACTTTTAACTTCTACATCTTTTTCACTCAGAACTGTTTTTAAGATTTATGCACATATCAAGTCTATCTCTTCTGCTAAATTTCATTGATGTATATCCCTACTTTTTTTTTTTTTAAATCAGTCGTGGGGCCTGAACTCTGGGCCTGGGCGCTGTCCCTCAGCTTTTCAGCTCAAGGCTAGCACTCTGCCACTTGAGCCACAGCGCCACTTCCAGCTTTTTTTGCTTATGTGGTGCTGAGGAACTAAACCCAGGGCCTCATGCATGCATGCAAGGCAAGCGCTCTACCACTGAGCCACCTTCCCAGCCCCACCCCCACTTTCTACACATCGAGTGTCCCTAACAGTGTGACACCACACTATTCAAGTGAACAGTCCCAAGTCTTATATGCTTATTTGAAACACTGGTGAGGTTAGGGGCTATATATACCCAGGAATCCAATTGCTGGGTTACAGGATCTTCTCTGCTCTGGTTTAACACCAGATAGATTTGCAGAATGGGTACAGCAATCAGCATGAGGTTTTTGGGGTTTTTTGTTTTTTGTCAGTCATGGGGCTTGAACTCGGGGCTTGGGTGCTATCCCTGTGCTCTTCAGCTCAAGGCGAGAGCTCTACCGCTTGAACCACAGTGTCAATTCCGGTTTCCTAGTTGTTTATTTGAGATGAGAGTCTCACAGACTTTCCTGCCTGGGCTGGCTTTGAACCACGATCCTCAGATCTCAGCCTCCTGTGTAGCTAGGATTACAGGCGTGAGCCACCGACACCAGGCTTCAGCACGATTTTATAGTCCCACTTCTTTGCTGCTCCTAGTAATCTCCAGCTATTTTCTTCCTGTCTCATATACTAATGTTTATTGTTCATATGCTTGTTAACCTTTTCTGTTTCCTCCTCTGTGAACAGTCTGTTCTTTCCTTTGCCACCTTTGTAGTTCACATGTATTCTAGGTATTAGTCCTTGTTAGTGCTAAGTGTTCCAAATCTCTTCTTTATGTCCATTGCATCTTTTGCTAGATAAGGTTTAAAGTTCAATATACCTATCTACTTTCCCTGAGATCCCTGGCAGCTAGCTACAGAGCCATTGCCTCAGCCTCATGAAACTGTCACTTTGGACAGTAAGATGAGAAGAGGCACTGCCAATATTTAACCCAGATTTTGTCTCTCCCAGGCCACTGTAGAGAAAGCTTCTCAAAGGAAATGTGTGCCATTTCCTCTGTCACTAAAGAAGGTATACAGTAAAAGCAGGAGGTTTGACAGGTCTTTAACCATCACCTGTTGACACACTGACATCTTCTCAAGGTGCCTGCTGTACCCACTGTGTTTAAGAGTGAGGGGTGAAGAACTATCAGCATTTTCTAAACATATCCCTAATAGCATTCCCAAGAATTAAAAAAGAATGAGTCACAGTTGATAAAGGAGCAACAATGCAGTTTGAAAGTTCTTAGGGTGTTTTTCTTTTGAACTATGTAGTTGCTCAAGGTAGGAAGACACTGTCTTCTATTTCCTTACGACTGTTTTCACAGTACTGTATTTAGGTGTTTATTTCCTCATAGTCCATCTCTTCAAGCAAGAAAGGCTCAGTGCTGGGATCAGAAGAGCAATAAATCTGGGAGACAGTCAGTACCTGTCTGCTTTATTTCAGGTTAGGTTCCGTGTGGCCTGGAAACACCTTGCGCACCCAGGTCCAGTTCACACCGACACAACTGGGACTCCACTGGCTCACTGTGGAAATGGATTGTGACATGTTCCAGAACCTAACCAGCTACAAGAGCATTACCATAGAAGCCCCTGAACTTTCCGCTTAGACTTCCACCTCTATCACCACTCTCCCCAACAAACCCTTGAAGTATAACCTAAACCCAAAACATGCAGGGGAGGGAAATCTGCTTCTCAGATAATGAGTCCCCAGCCCAACTGAGCAGAACTGTCAACAAGACCAAAGCTAGATTCCCAGAAACCAGATAAGACATTTTCCTGTCACCCACAGCTTAGGGCAGTCAGAAAGACAAGTTGTCTTCAAATAGAAATGACTGGGGATCAAGGGTCAAAAAGTAGTCTTTGAAAAGGTACTCAGATTTTCAAAGTTCATTTTCAGAGTGTATTGAGATTTGGAGGCTCAGGTATTGTCACAATCATTTTGTAACACAAGAAAACAATACAAACATATGTAACAAATCTGTTCAATAAAGTGGACAAATCTACCAAATTAGCACAATACCAATTTATTTCAGAGGCATGGAATAAGGTGGGCTAATAATCAGAAAGACTATAGCTAAGAATATCATGTAAGTACTGAAAGTAGGTTTTGTGCAAGGCCCTAAATTCAAACCCTAGTACCACACCATAAGAAAGGAAGAAAGGTTTGGTTTCAACAGACTGCATTTCTCAAAAAACCCTGAAAGGAGCCTCATCTTTGGCATTTTAACATCAACACCTTCAGCAGTGAAACAATACATGTTACTGCAAATTAGGAATAAGGCAGCTTCCCTAGGAATCTCCGCAAGCAAATTTAGGAACAAACTTACGCAATTATCTTTTGTATTTAGCACAAAAATACATCACACTCATATGGCTTATAAATAACTGCCAATCTGGATAGCCAATAATCTCTGATAATAATTTTTTATTAAATAATGGACAGCAACTCCCTTTCTATCCAGCAATTATTCTAGCTCTACTTAAAAGCAGATATTAAGACCTGGGTGAGAATGTAAAAGAGGGAAAGAAAAGAGTAAGAATGAGCCTGAAACTCATAATTCAGCTGCACTCTGAGTGAGTTCCTTAACTCTGTTCATGCAGTGGTCAATGGCATTAATGAGTAAAAGGATCCAACTATCTTCTGGCTGAGAGGTCACATGACTTGCTCTGCAAAGGAAGCAGGGGAAAGAAAAGTTCAATTTAGTAGCATCAAGAGAACATCTACCCCAAGGAAAGCATAAAGAAGAATCTATAGAGAGAAATGGCAAGATTCCACATAGGAACTCAGCTGCTCCACAGTTGAAACTGAAAGAAAACTCCATATTCACCCTTCCCCACTCCGTAAAATGGGAGCTTAGTGAGAATGGCTAGATAGACAGTTTTTTTGTTTTTTCTCAAAAGCCCCTGGGGCTTTTGTAAGTCTTTACACTTACTTTGTAATTTCAAGTGCCTTCTTTAAAACAGATACAAGTTTTGCAGACTAAAAAAGAGAGAGAGAAGTTAATCCTGAGGTTTTCATTAAAAGAAAAAGAGAGTGCAAATATCTTAAAGGACCTATGTTTATATATATCAAACATACACGTAAAACTTATTATAACTGTTTCTACAAAATAATGTATATGTTTTAAAAAATTAGCTGGGCCACCAGTGGCTCACGCCTACAATCCTAGCTACTCAAGAGGCTGAGATCGGAGGATCATGTTCAAAGCCAGCCTGGCAGGAAACTCCGTGAGACTATCTCCAATAAACCACCAGAAACCCGGAAGTGGCGCTTTGGCTCAAGTGGTAGAGCGCTAGCTTGAGCTGAAGAACTGAGGGACAGTGCCCAGGCCCAGAGATCAAGCCCCATGACCAACAAAAATAAAAAATTAAGTATTTTTAGGCTGAAAAACAGAACAGAAAAATAAATGTAACCTAAATTTTTCTCTATTGCTGATTTCTCATAATATCAAGCAGAAATTACTAATGTACATTTGTCATTAAAACAATAACCCCCCAAAAAGAGCCATAGTTATGATGGGGAGCCAGCGTTGTAGCTCAGTGACAGAACACAAATGTAGAATGCGTGGAATTCAGGGTTTAATTTCCTCAAAAAAAGCAAAACAACATAAAGTTTTTTTTTTCTTTTTGCCAGTCCTGGAACTTGAACTCAGGGCCTGGGCACTGTCCCTGAGCTTCTTTTGCCCAAGGCTAGCACTCTACCATTTGAGCCACAGCGCCACTTCCAGCTTTTTCTGTTTATGTGGTACTGAGGAATTGAACCCAGGGCTTCATGCATGCTAGGCAAGCCCTCTACCACTAAGCCATATTACTAGTCCCCATAAAGATGCTATAATTCATAATACATATGTAAGCATAGTAGATATTGTAGATATTGTGTTTGGGATAACTAAGAAGAACATACTGCTCTTAAAGAAGTCAAATTAGTTTGTTGTTGTTTTTTGAGTAGGAAAGATACTTTATTGGGGTAGACATGGAGCACGCACTAGTCCATGAAGAAGTCAAGTTTTTAAGAGTTACTATGCAGACAAAAAAAAAAAAAAAGTAATGGGAAAGGAAAGAGAAAAAAGAAAGGACTGGAGATGTGGCCCAAGAGGTAGAATACCTGCCTAGGGAGCACAAAAAACAGCTCCCCAAAGAATTCTATTCTGTTCAAGGTATCTGAACATAATGAATATATATTTGGCAAATATAACTTCCAGAAATTAATCAGAACTGATATATAAGATCAGAACTATTACATCTGACTACAAAATATAAGTTCACTGGGCAGTTTAATTTTTTTTAAATCCATTGGGGATATGAACTGGAGATTTTTTAAAAGAAAACAACTCTAGTAAAAGGCATAGTATTTGAAAGAATACAAAAGTCAGATCTTTATAAAGAACTCAATTAATCAGTTAAATTACCCAAAGTATTCATATTAGAACAGAGTGTGTTGATGGAACATTTACACTTGCCTAGATCAGAAACTAGAAATTTGCGATTTCAAATTCAGGTATTACTAATTAACAACAAAAATGAAAGCAAAAAAACCCAAGCCGTAATTCAGGTTTTCTTTTCAAAGCAGCATTTTCTAAGACCTTTGTGGTATTCCAAATATTACCCAGGTGGTTATAGAAGACAGAACACAGCTCATGGCAATTATAATTCAACTAAGCCACTATTTGTCCAACACAAACACATGAAAAATTGTAACATTACTGTTATATTTGCCTCCAAGTATGACAATATGCACAGTAATGACTAATAAATTCTACTAATTAGGTCTGTAGCTACTACCCTAAAAGCTGGTACTTACATTGAGTCGCACAGTGAGTTGGCACACAGGTGGATATATACTTAGGGCCAAATCATCCACACTAAAAGCAGAAGGCAAAAAATACCATTTAACACACAAAGCAACAAGCTCAATGTGATTGTTTCCACTTGGATATGACTAAGGAAAAAGTGACTATTCCAGAAATGACAAAATAATCAAAAGTTCAAATGGCTGGAGGTTCTATAAGACAATCTAATCTGTTTTGTTTAAAAATGTTCATATCAAGACAGGCTCCTGCCTGTAATCCTAGCTACTCAGGAGGCTCTTATTTCCAATTAACCACCAGAAAACTGGAAGTGGCGCTGTGGCTTAAAGTGTAGAGCACCAGCCTTGAGTGAAAGAGCTCAGGGACAGTGCCCAGGCCCTGAGTTCAAGCCCTACAAAGACCAAAAAAAAAAAACAGATGACAGCCAAATGCAATAGGGGGGCCTAGATTTATAGAACATATTTTATTTTATTTTTTTAATTAATTAATTTTTTTTTTTTGTCGATCGTGGGGCTTGAACTCTGGGCCTGGGCGCTGTCCCTCAGCTCTTCAGCTCAAGGCGAGCGCTCTACCACTTGAGCTACAGCGCCACTTCCGGTTTTCTGGTGGTTTATTGGAAATAGGAGTCTCACGGTCTCTCCTGCCCGGGCTGGCTTTGAACCGCGATCCTCAGATCTCAGCCTCCTGAGTAGCTAGGATTACAGGCGTGAGCCACCAGCGCCCAGCTAGAACATATTTTATAAACAAATATAGAAATCAAAATATACAGCTATTACAGTATACAATATAAATATTATAACATAATTATTATATTCAATGTTAACTTGGATGTGACAGTAGAAATGTCTTTGTTTTTAAGAAATATCACTGATGTCCATAACTAACTCTCAAAATAGTTTTAGTAAAAAATGTTCAGTCTATTTATAGAGAAATGAGCCAGGAATAGAGGTGTAGCTCAAGTGGTACAGTGCCAGCTGTGAGAGAAAAAAATTGAGTGAGAGTACAAGTCTATGAATTCAAGGCCTGACACATACACAAAAAAGAACTAAGTCAGTATAGAAAAAAAAAAAGTAAAGAAAACGGGCTGGGAAGGTGGCTCAGTGATAAGAGTGCTTGCCTTGCATGCATGAGGCCCTGGGTTTGATTGCTTAGCACCACATAAGCAGAAAAAGCTGTAGGTGGCGCTGTGGCTCTAGTGGTAGAGGACTAGCCCAGGCCCCGAGTTCAGGCCCCATGACGGACCAAAAAAAAAAAAAAAAAGAAAGAAAATATATGAATACAAATGAAGGTTGTAAAAATTATCACTGAAGTACTTTTCCTATACAGTTTAACATTTTTTTAAATTTGTATTTATTTTTGCCAGTCCTGAGACGAACTCAGGGCCTAGGTACTGTCCCTGAGCTTCTTTTGCTCAAGGCTAGCACCACCACTTGAGCCACAGCGCCACTTCCAGCTTTTTTCTGCTTATGTGTACTGAGGAATCAAACCCAGGGCTTCATGCATGCTAGTCAATCACTCTACCACTAAGCCACATTCTTAACCCTCAAAATATTTTTAAAACTAGGGTGAAACCTTGTGGTGACAGCACAAGCTGGTATTAGAACATTCTCACTCTCAAGTAAGAAATGTACTTACCTGGGGCTGATCTCATCACAAATATCCACAATGTCATCTAGCTGGGCCACCTGGTCCTTCTTCCCATTCTCTGCCACTAAGAGCCGAATTTTCTTCAGGCAGGCCTTGGATGCTTTCACCAGTGCAAGGCATGGCACTATGAGCTCTTGGTCCTCCTCTGACCAATATGAGTCCCGATTGCTTGGAAACCCCAATGCATCATCCTCATTACTGTGGTTGTCAGAGTTGTCTTCCTCAGAATCATTCAAGAGGCCACGGTAAGGATCACATTCCTCGACAGCCTAAGACATGCCATCATATAGACCAATGAAATAAAAAGTCCTATTATGTTTTTAGGACCACAATTGAGTTGTCCGCCTCAGTATCCACATCAGTAATGGCTAGAGTTCAATCACTTTATTAATCTCCTTGTCCAGCAATGGAGCAGAGAGGAATGGCACTACCCTACACAGCAGCA